AGCTTTGATTTGGGCTTGGGTTTACCTTAATTCCCTTTTGGTTCTTGAATTTTCGGTAATTTTCCCAGAATTTCCCCTGCACATGCCGTCGGCCTCCCCCCCTGCAGCTCCGGTTTTAGCTGGAGAATTATGGTATGTTGACAGCCATTTAAGGCTTAAATTATCCATTTGTTTGCTGCCTTGTGTGTGTCCGAAATTCTGTAGGAAATGGGGATAATTCCGGTAACTTTAGGATGAGATTTAAGTACTAATTCTAGTGGGTTTTTGTTTAATTTAAGTGTAAATTGCTTGAGTTGATTGCTGTGTGATTTTTGGAGAAAATCCCGTGAGATTAGCTAGTGTTTTGGCCAATTGGTGGAAGTGGAGTTACTGTTCACGTCGGGGTACTGTTCACCGACACTGTTCACACACCGAGGGTCAATAATTAATGGGGATTTAAATGATTAGTTTGTGATATAAGAATGAATTTGGAGATATTTGATCATGTGGAGTTTGATAGGAATAATATCGTGATTAGTGATTTGTAGTGATAATTTCACTTGAACTGCGATAGTGCGATATTGATTCTGAAATGTTTTGATTAGGTTCCCGATCGTTCTGTCAATTAGTACGTGAATTGAGTGCTCAGTTTTATGTGAAGTGAGGTAAGTAAATTATGGTAAAGCCCTTCGATTTTAAAGCATGTTTTAAATTGTTTTTGAGATGGTGGCAAGGTTCAAATTGATTTTAAATTGATTTTATCAGCATTTGAGTGTGGTTAAACTGGAATGAAAATTGTGATGATTTCTATAAGAATTTCACTATTTTTCTGGAATTGAGCATGAATGGAATAAAAATGAGGATTTTATTGATTTTATGGAATTGAGCATGATTGGAATGAAAATGAGAATTTCATTGTTTTTCTGAAGTTGAGCATGCCTATTTGGAAATTGACTGAACTGTTTTGATGAACTGAGAGTTTTTGTAAATTCTGAGTTTTCTGTTAAATCCATGCTCACATGGAGATTTTCCGGTTGTTTCTGAGATTGGAGATTGACTGTCCTGATGATCTGAAAGTGATTGTGAATTGTGATTTTCTTATGAACTTCTGCCTGTTTTGTCTCCGATATGGTCATGTTATTCGTGTGCCCGCTAATGGGAGGTTTATAAACGCTAGCACATGTCGACATGTTATTGATAGAACCGGTTCATTTGAGTGACCCTACTAGTGGGGGTTATACACCAGCAAATCGTGTGCCCGCCAGTGGGAGGTTTATAAACGCTGGCCGTGACCTATAGAGGAGACGTCTATTTCGTGCCCGCACTGTATCTGTTTTCATGATTACACTTGTTGGCATGCTATGAGTTTAATTGACGGTTTGTCATTGAATGCTTTGCAAGCGAACTGAATCTGATTTTGCATTGACGGTTTTGTCATTGAACGTTTTGCTATTGAACCGAATTTGATTTCTGCATTTACGGTTTATCAGTGAAAATTCTGTTATACTTACATGGTTTATCTGGCATGCTTATATTTTTACCCAGGGGCTATCCATATTTACTTACTGAGTTATCTCATAGTTTTCCTTGTCCACCATTTCCATTTCAGGAAGTGAAACCGAGGACGGGGAAACCAAGGGGAGTGACGTGATAAAAGGCTAGCCACTTGAGATTTGACATAGATTTTAGATACATGTACACCACGCTCTTGTAAGTTAGATTTTAATTGGAAGTTTTATGGTATCAAAACTGATTTTGTTCAGTAAGTTCCGAGCCTTGTGCATTTGTGGGACCCGTCTCACGAGTGCACGGCGTCTGTCGCGCCTCGGATTCGGGTTCTGGGGCGTGACAATATTATTAAAAAATATTACTTAAAAATACATATAAAAAAGTTACTTAAAATGTAAGTAAGAATATCATTTTTTCTTCTAAATACCAATTAATTACAAAAAAATATACAAAAAAAAAAGATGGATAAGATATGAGAAATTAAAGTATATATCGTGAATATTACGTTAATTAAACTACATGGTTTAAGTATAGTAAAACCAATGCAATAGAAGACATGAAGCAAAGAAATTAACAACAAAAATAAACAACAGTACTCTCATAAACAATGTGATTGTAGGAAAATCATGAACCTAGCGTGTTTAGAGTCCATGGGCTTTTACAATGCCCAGGATCATTTCACTAGGATCGATTGCCTCCCACTTGCTATTTTACCCCTTAATAAAAAAATTGTTGTTTTACTCCCTTAATCACCAACCAACCTATAGTATGTTTGGATTGAAGAGAATGGAGAGAGGAGAGGAGAAAAGAAGAAAGTTTTTTAATCAATCAAATTATAATATTTTAAAAACATTATAATTTAATTGATTAAAAAATCTCCCCTTCCCCTCAACCCAAATATATAGTTAAACATTCAATTAACGACATTTTTGTCATTTTCAATATTAATTAAAAATACTCAATGCCTTCTAAATTATTAGTATCTCATTGATCACATGATTATTTCTTTTTTTAGTGCATAAGATGATTGATTATATGAGAACGAATAGCACTTCACTTTTTCCAAATTCCTTACTTCATTCAAAATTCGAATCTAAAATTTCAAATTATTAACCAATTGAGTCATAAAAATAAGAATTAGTTGGTGACATTTATGGGCACAATTAGTTCATTCATTTTTTTTTTTTTGTGGTAAACTGACAATTTTTTTTAGTCTAAAATTAAAATCTTTTTTTGAATGATATTTTATGGTTTGTTTACTATCTCTGTAAAAAATTTTTATTTTGAAAACTAAAAACAATAGTTTTGGTAAGTTACAAAAACTAGATAAAGAATTTTCAAATAAGAGAATGCACATTTACAGTCTTGTATTTTTTTTTAAACATTGATGGAGGGGTAGGTCTTAATATCAATAGCCTACCCCTCTATCAATAGTTATAAGAAGACTGCCCTTAACTCCACTTGTTTAGATCCATCAATGGTTAGGATGGGTTGCTTGTAACTCCACTTGAGTCCCATCCAACTCCTCCTCGAATCCGTCTTTGAAGCTCTTATTTTACATCTTGTTTCTCATTGTAGTTACAAAATCTACAAAATTTATATTGATTTGTAAAATAATAAATATAAATTACAACGAATTTGAAAAAAATGAGAAACAATCTCTGGTTTGGGAATGTTACAATGTACTCGCTCAAATTTTAAATGATGGCGCATTTGGAAATAGCATGATCCTTTGATTGACAGTTGAATTTAAAAAGGTAAGTGCCTTAGCTTGATCTAGTTATTAAGGGATTTGAGATTTGCCTTGGAAAATTTTTCCTCATTGGCAGTTGAAACCTTCCTTAGTTGGAGCTTTGAACTTTGAGAATTGTCAAGAGGTTTTAAACTTGCTATTCCTCTTCTTTTTTTCCCTCTTCTCTTTTTCCTTCTTTTTCTTTAAATGGATAGTCTATTTATAGCCAAAGGAAGCTTGCCAAATGATCTCAAATACCCTTCACTTTAAGAATAAGTTAATCATTTCATAAATAAATTTAATTTAATTAAAGACAAAATTTCTCTTTAAAGATTTACCACCCAACTTCCAAGATTTTATTGTAGTAAAAATATTTAATTTAAAAAATTATTTATTGTCTTCACTCATCTTTGATTGATATATCAGGCACCCTGCGACATACATTACAATTAGATTTTGGTGTGTCTCTTAGTTTATGTATTTCCAATTATATATCAATGAAAATTAATCAATTAATCAATTAATAATTACCAGGTAATGAAGAAGATTTTGTTTTTTTGTCAATTCTCATTCGTGTCGAAATTTGTTGAGTAAGAAAATTTTACATTTAAAATATAACAAAAAAGCATATGAGTTAAATATAAAAAAAAATTACTTCACTTATAATTAATTGATTTTAAGTTATATGCAAGCTATGTATTGAAACTCATACGTTAATTTTCACAAAATCAAAATCATAGGCTACATAATGACATTCCTTCTCAGGAAGAGAAGTGAAATCCTCGTATGGGATTCCTAAGGTTGTCCCAGCTTGTCTATCACCCGCTGTTGGTCTTGAATCTTGAAGCTAATGAATTGGTAGTAGCTCTTTGCCTTTAGCTCCAAAACTTGAGAGTTTACAGTTGTCATGAACAATCATTCGAGCTTCTAAATATTGAATTATATATTTTAGCTATATATAAAATTACTATAACAATAAAATTATTTTAAAAATTTCTAAATAAATACTCATCAATAAATCCCCAATAAATTTAAAAATTTCAAATAAATACCCACCTTAATTAACTAGGAATTAATATAATAGGGAAAAAAAATCTAAAATACTATGAGTAAGAATCATCCAAACAAAATTTATTAATAATATTAATAATAAGAAATAAATTTAAAATACTCCACTCAATTTAGATATATATATATATATATATAATGCTACCCTATATATTAAATAAGGTATATATTTATATGTATGTATATAGTAATATAATAATATATATAATATAAGTAATTGAAAAAAGATAAATATTAAGCTAACTTTATGATAGTAATATAACATAGGTAACTGAAAAAATTAATCTTTGGTTAGCTAAAGAGGCAAGATCATGGCCAAATAATTTCTTAGCAAATATAATTTAGATAAATATTATAAGATATGTAAAAAATATATATATAAAGCTAACTTTATGATAGTAATATAACATAGGTA